GACTTTAATCACAAATAACATGATCAACTATGCAGAAAATATGAAGAAATCTAACAAAAATAAATGTTAGTCTAGCAAAGTTACAGAATACAAGATCAATATACAGAAATTAATTGTATTTCTCAATATTGGCAATGAACATTGGGATACTGAAATGAAAAATAAATAATGCCATTTATCATATTGTGAAAAAATATGAAATACTTAGGAATGTATCTGACAAAATATATATAAGACCTGTGTACTGAAAACTGCAAAACCTTGCTGAGAGAAATTAAAAACCTAAATTAATAAACCATGTACATGGATTGGAAAACTCAATATTGTTAAGATGGCAGTTTACCCCATATTTATTTATAGAGTCAACATAATCCCAATGAAAATCCTAGTAGATTTTTTTGTTTTTGTTAAAGTTGATAAGCTCAGTCTAAAACGCATGGAAATACAAAGGACCTAAAAGAGCCAAAACAACTTTGAAAAAGAACAAGATTGGAAGGCAAACACTGCCTGATATCAAGAATTATAATAAATTTACAATAATAAAGATAGTTTGGTATTGGTTTAAACACAAATAGATCAATAGAACAGAATAAAGAGTCCTGAAAGAGACTCAAAGATGTATGGTCCATTAATTTTTGATAAAAGTGTAAAAACAATTCCGTGGAGAAAGTACAGTTTTTTCAACAAATGGTGTTGGAATAGTTTGATATCCATATGCAAAAAAAAAAAAACCTTTATATCCATACCTTATACCATTTCTAAAAACTAACAATGTATTATAGACCTAAATGTACAACTCTAAGAGTGTAAAACTTGTAGAAGAAACATAGAAAATCTTGTGACTTTGGGTTAGGCAAAGATTTCTTGGATATGACACCAAAAGTATGGTCCAAAACAGAAAAACTTGATAAATAGGACATAATTAAGAATTTCTGTTCTTTGAAAGGCATTGTTAAGAGAATGAAAATGGAAGTCACAGACCTGAATATTTGTAAACCACGTATATGATAGAGGGCTTGATCCAGCCTAAGTCAGTAATAAGAAAAGAAATAATCCAATAAAATGGGCAAAGAATGTATACCAATGGCAAATAAACAAATGAAAAGTAGATGAAAGAAATAGTCAACATCATTATAGTTATTATGAAAATGCAAAGAAAAACCTCCATGAGATACCACAACATATATATTAGAATGGCAAAAAAATTAAAAAGACCCTATCAAGTCTTTGCAAGAATGTAGAGCAACTGTCATACTCATACACTGCTGGTGGGAATGTAACATGATAAAACCATTTTGGAAGAAGTTCCCTAAAATTAAATATTTACTTAAAAAATGATTCAACTATTCTACTTCTAGGCAGTTACCCAAGGGAAATGAAAGCATATGTCCACATAAATAATTGGTATGGAAATGTTCATAGCAGCTTCGTTTGTAATAGCCCCAAGCTGGAATCACTCCAAGTGTCCATCAGAGGTGAATAAATAAACAATTTTGGTATGTTCATATAATGGAATACACCTCCACAATAAAAAGGAATGAACTATTGATACAAGCAACAACTTGAATGGATCTCAAAATAACTACGCTGACTGAAGGAATTCAGACTCCCCCCCTCTCTGAAAAAGGTTTGATTCTCTTTATATAAAATTTAGAAAATACAATCTAATATATATTGACTAAAAGCAAATTGGTGGTTGCCAGGGGACAGCAAGGAAGGAAAATGGGGAGGAATAGGAAAGAGGAATTTTAAAAGAGTATGATGAAACCATTGAGGGGTGATGGATGTGTTCATTATTTTGATTTTAGTAATAGTTTTATGAGTGCATATGTTTGTCAAAACTTATCAAATAGTATACTTTAAATGTGTACAATTTTTATAGAGATTGTACTTCATTAAAGTGGTGTTTTCAAACTACCAAAAAGATACCAGATATGTCTTTCCAAGTTTAACTAAAACTTTGAATTCTAAGGAATTCAAATATGCCATATATATAGCATTTAGATTCTCATAATTTTCAAGAATTTTTTTCTGCATGTTTATGTTATAACTATAGTTTGTTTTTGTTTAATTTTTTGAAATTCTTTAAATAAAAACCATTTACTTGGTGAGGAAGTACAGCAGTAGTAACTTACATAACTTACCAGTAGGTAAGAACTAAATTGCTTATATGTAAAAACAGTTTAGTTAAATATGTACATACCCCACAACCTAGTAATTCTCTTTCTAGGTATATAGATGGTCCTAACTTAAAATGGTTCAACTTAAAAATTTTTCAACTTTACAGTGGTGCAAAACCGTTCTGTTTTTCACTTTCAGTACAGTATTCAATGAATTACATGAGATAGTCAATACTTTATTACAAAATAGGCCTTGCATTAGATGATTTTGCCCAACTAGGCTAATGTAAGTGTCTTGTGCACGTTTAAGGTAGGCAAAGCTAAGCTGCAATGTTCAGTTAGGTGTGTTAAACGCATTTTTGACTTAAAATATTTTCAACTTACAATAGGTTTATTGGGATGTAAACCCATTATAAATTTAGGAACATCTGTATATAAAGAACAGCAGGTCTCAAACTGGACTCAGGACTCCTTTGTACTCTTAAATTATTGAACTCAAAAAGCATTTATGTGAGATATTTACTGTATTAAAAATTAAAAGTGAGAAAGTTTAAAAATATTCACCTTTGGATAATAATAATACATATTACATGTAGCCATGTTAACACAAATAATACTTTTAGGACAAATAATTATTTTCCCAAAGGAAAAAAATAGTGAGAAGTATGGTATTGTTTTACATTTTTACAAATCTCTTTAATTTCTTGCTAAATGGAAGACTGATACTCATATCTAGTTCTGTATTCAATCTGTTAGGATATATTGTTTTAGCTGAAGTGTATGAAGAAAATCTTGTTTCACAAAGATATACAGTTGGAAAAATGAGAACTATTTTAATAGTCTTTTCATAAAATTATGGATATTCTTTGATACTACACTACAACTCTTCAAGTGGTAATTTCTTTAATTTGCAATGTTGAACCTGAAACTACATCAGTGAACTTTTTTACATTCTGTAACATTAAAATGCCTTGGTCTGTCTTGTGTACTTTGACTGGATCTTTTACCTAAGCATATTTTGTAACATTATGTACTAATCATTTGGAAAATATTAGTTCACTGAGTTATTCACATCTTCCAAATGTAGACTCATTTGGCTATTTTGGCTGAAGTATGTCTTTTATACATTTTGTCCAACAAATGTTTATTGTATGAAGTACTCTGCAAAGCACTGCACAGGAAACAGACATTGTCACCATCTTCAAAGAGCTGTGGTATGGTAGGAATTTATGACAAATACACATCTCATCTGAACCCCCAGTAGGAACAAAGAGTTTAAAGGTTTTTATGCACATGGGCCTGCATTTGAAAGGGACCAGGAAAAATTTCCTGAAGGATAAGTAGAATTACGATAAAGTAAAATACTGGTGGGAGGGGTGGGGGCAGTATTGATGGGATAGGAATGACAACTAAAATTTAAAATAAATATAAAGTAAGAAATAAGCCTGGTTTGGTCCATTTACAATGCAGAACAATTATTGATACCCTTTGGTCTAAGGAGTTAAGAGCTTTTCAGTGAGACAGTACCAATTTTTTAAAACCTTATTTATTGTGAAATAGAGAAATGCATAAAATAAATGTATAGTTTAATGATTACTGAGTGTGGATTTTGAGTAAGGAAAAAAGAGTATGTTTTAACAAACATGGGATTTCCCAGGAACTAGGTATCCCATGCAGTTCTTTGCAAGGTAGGTGTGGCTTGTAACAGAAGTTTTGCAGTACCCATTGTCCTGAAGAAGTCATCCTGTGCTGCTGGAAGTTCTTAAGTCCACCCTGTCCCAGTATGGCTGTGCCTTTGTTCTTTAGCACATGCTCTTTGGTTGCCCCATCTAAGTTTCGACAGCACTAACCACTTTTTCTTAATGCTAGGCACCTCCTGTTGGCCAATATATGAAGTTTTTTCCTGAAATACACCTGCAATCATATGAATAATATGTAGATGTGGACAATGAATGTACTAGAAAGGTTAACTCTCTTATAAACTCAGGTCAAATTATAGTAATTTGGCCAGGTGCCGTGGCTCACGCCTGTAATCCCAGCGCTCTGGGAGGCCGAGGCAGAAGGATCGCTTGAGCCCAGGAGTTCGAGATCAGCCTGAGCAACATCGTGAGACCCCCATCTCTAAAAAAAAAAAAAATAGAAAAATTAGCTGAGCACGGTGGTGTGTGTCTGTAGTCCCATCTACTTGGCAGACTGAGGCACGAGGACTGCTTTAGCCCAGGAGTTTGAGGTTGCAGTAAGCTATGATGATGCCATTGCACTCTAGCCCAGGCAACAGAGGGAGACCCCATTTCAAAACAAAAATTACTGTAATTTAATGCATGCTTGATGTTCCATGAAAGCTTAGATGGACATAGTGGAATTCTTTTCTCTTTAAGTATTTGTTCTCTTTCTGCCACTCGTGTGACAGACATGTTTAGTACCCTTCAAAATTAAAATCGAAGTGAAATATACTTTTAGCTATCATGTTTCAAAAGATACATTTATGTTAGTGCATTCAAATGAGGTATAGAGTAATTGTCCATGTTTGAGACATTGTGCGGAGACTAAAAACAAAGGTTAACATAAGGCTTAGTTTTCCTGGAGTTTGTAATTTTAAAAATGGTGTCAGTAACAGCAAACAGATAAATTCAGAAAAGGGTATGGAAGAAAATTCAATAGAAAAATATACTCAAGAATAAATAAATGCATTGAGTAAATAATGTATTTATGTATCCACAGGTAAGAATACTACAGTTTAAATTTTTAAAATTTTGTTATCAGTTATTATCAAAGTAATTTTGAAGTCATTTTAGTAAACAGATTTAAATGTTTAAAATGCAAAATGAATTTTTGTATGTAATTGTTAATATCATTGATTGGTATCTTCTGTTTTCATAGATTTGATCCAGGCTACCAATGAGACCAATGTTAATATTCCCCAGATGGCCGACACTCTCTTTGAGCGGGCAACAAACAGTAGCTGGGTGGTTGTATTTAAAGCTTTAGTGACAACACATCATCTCATGGTGCATGGAAATGAGGTAAACTAAGTAAACTTAACTTTTCTTTTTTTGGTGGAGGAAGGAGGCTTTTATGGAAGAACATAGTGATGATTTAAGGCTCTTCATATTTTTACTGCTTAGGAGAAAAATAAAAGGAAATATACAGTTTCAAATAACCTAGAGTACAATTTTAATCTTCTATTTAGCTATTTATCAAAGAATAAAATTTAAGCTATCTTACAAATACTGAAGTATAGGCATACCTCAGTGATATTGCAGGTTCAGTTCCAAACCACTGCAGTAAAGTGAATATTGCAATAAAGCAAGCTACACAAATTTCTTGGTTTCCCAGTGCATATAAAAGTTATTTTTACGCTATACTGTAGTCTATTAAGTGTGTAATAGCATCATATCTAAAAAAATAATTTACATACCTTAATTTAAAAATACTTTATTGCTAGAAAATCATCATCAGATGATCAACAGAGCCTTCAGCAAGTCATAATTTTTTTGGCTGGTAGAGGGTCTTGCCACAGTGTTGATGGCTGCTGACTGATCAGGGTGGTGGTAGCTGAAGGTTGGGATGACTGGCAATTTCTTTTTTTTTTTTTATTTCAGCATATTATGGGGGTACAGATGTTTAGGTTATGTATGTTGCCCTTGCCCCCCCCCCAAGTCCGAGTTTCAAATATGTCCATCCTTCGGGTGGTGCACATTGCACTCTTTGTGTATGCAAATACCTGTCCCTTCCTCCCTCCTCCCTCTTCCCTCCTCTCCCCCTCCCCCTCCCCCCTTCCCAACATCCAATTTCTTAAAAGGAGACAACAAAAGTGTTTGCCGTATCGATTGACTCTTCCTTTCACAAAAGATTTCTCTGTAGCATGCTATGTTGTTTGATACCATTTTATTCACAGTAGAACTTCTTTCAGAATTGGAGTCAGTCCTCTCAAACCCTGCTGCTGGTTTATCAACTAAGTTTGTGTGATATTTTAAATCCTTTATTGTCATTTCAACAATGTTCACAGCCTCTCGACCAGGCTAGATTCCATCCTTAAGAAGCAACTCCTCTTCCATTCAAGTTTTATCATGAAATTGAGCAGTTCAGTCACACCTTCAGGCTCCACTTATAATTCTACTTCTCTTGCTATTTCCACCACTTCTGCAGTTGCTTTTTCCACTGAAGTCTTGAACTCCTCAAGGTCATCCATGAGGATTGGAATCAACTTTTTCCAATGTTAATGTTACAATTTTGACCTCCTCCAGTGAATCATGAATGTTCTTAATGGCATCTAGAATGGTGAATCCTTTCCAGAAGGTTTTCAATTTACTTTGCCCAGATCCATGAGAGGAATAACTATCTATGGCAGCTATAGCATTACCAGATATATTTCTTGAATAATAAGACTTGAAGTTCGAAGTTACTCCTTGATCCATAGGCTGTAGAATGGAGTCCTGTTAGCAGGCATGAAAACAGCATTAATCTCCTTGCACATCTCCATCAGAACTCTTAGGTGACTAAGTGCATTGTCGATGAACAGCAATATTTTGAAAGGAACCTTTTTTTCTAAGCAGTAGGTCCCAACAGTAAGTTTAAAATATTCAGTAAACCATGTTGTAAACAGATATAATGTCATCCAGGCTTTGTTGTTGCATTTACAGAGCACAGGCAGGGTAAATTTAGCATAATTCTTAAGGGCCCTGGAATTTTCAGAATGGTACATGAACATTGGCTTCAACTTCAAGTCGCCCGATGCATTAGGCCTTAGTAAGAGAGTCAACCTGTCCTTTGAAGCTTTGAAGCCAGAAATCTACTTCTCCTGTCCAGATATGACACTCTTAGATGTCATCTTCTTTCAATAGAAGGCATTTTGTCTGCATTGAAAATCTTTTGTTTAGAGTAGCAGCTTTCATCAGTTATCTTAGCTATATCTGGATAACTTGCTGCAGCTTCTACATGAGCACTTGCTACTTCACCTTGCACTTTTATATTAGACGGCTTCTTTCCTTAAGCCTCATGAACCATCCTCTGCTAGCACCAAACTTTTCTTCTACAGCTTCCTTTCCTCTCTCAGCCTTCATAGAACTGAAGAGAGTTAGGGTCTTACTCTGGATTAGGCTTTGACTTAAGGCAATTTGATCTTCTATCCAGACTGCTAAAACCTTCTCCATATCAGCAATAAGGCTGTTTCACTTTCTTCTTTGGGTTTTCACTTGAGGAACACTTTTAATTTCCTTTGAGAGCTTTTCGTTTGCATTTATAGCTTGGCTGACTAGCACAAGAGGCTTAGCTTTTGGTCTATCTTGGCTTTCGACATGCCTTCCTCACTAAGAGTAATCATGTCTAGCTTTTGATTTAAAGTTAAAGATATGTGGCTCCTCCTTTCCTCCTTTCACTTGAACACTTAGAGGTCATTGTAGGGTTACTAATTGGCCTAATTTTAATATTATTGTGTCTCAGAGAATAGGGAGGCCCAAGGAGAGTGAGAGAGATAGAGGAACAGCCAGTCAGGACAAACAAAGCGATTAAGTTCGTCATCTTATATGGGTGCCGTTCATGGTGTCCCAAAAGAATTACAATAGTAACATCAAAGGTCACTGATCACAGCTCACCATACCAGATATGATAATGATGAAAAAGTTTGAAATATTTCAAGAATTACCAAAATGTGACACAGAGACACAAACTGAGCACATGCTGTTGGAAAAATGACACCAATACATAGACTTGCTTAACACAGGGTTGCCACAAACCTTCAATTTTTAAAAAAATGCAATATCTGCAAAGTGCAATAAAGCAAAGTGCAATAAGAGAAGGTGTGCCTGTATTAAATATCACTGGCTCACAAAATATATATATATATACATATATATATATATATATATATCATATAAACCTATTAGTGGGCAAAGATATTGGAGAAAGGAACAATAAAATTATTTTTCCCATAGGCACATATTCCTTTGTGCCTTTAAGTGAAAACTATTTTCATAAAATGTTTATTTTGGAAAATATTGATAAAATTACCCATTTTATATGGGATACCTGCTGAATCCTATTAAATTGCAATATTTCTATTATATGCAGAAATGAAAGATCATACAATTTAATTCAGTGAGTATTAGTTAAAGTTTTTTTCCACTTTCAGAGAAAGCAGATTAGGAAGCTTTGTAACTGAGTAAAAGAGATCATAATGAGAATTTATGAAAAAAAAAAATTTCCTTAGGTATCAAAAATCGTTTAAATGTATGATTTGAGCATATGGGTGTTTAATCTTTGTTTTTCAGAGATTTATTCAGTATCTGGCCTCTAGAAATACGCTATTCAATCTCAGCAATTTTTTGGACAAAAGTGGATCCCATGGTGAGAATATTTTTATTTTATAATTTTTTGCTAATACTTTAATTTTCAAGTGAGGTTATTAATCCAAATTCATTACAAGTGATAGCTTCATTTGGGTATTTAAGAAAAATGTAAAAATAACTATTTTTACATATAGCTTTAAATTTTTTAATTATAGATAGCACATGAAATATATGCTAATTTTATTTTTGGCATTTTCAGTGTTTACCTTAAAAAGTAATAATGGGTATGCTAGACCTACAGTGTGTATTTATGAAGGTGAAGGAGACAATGAAATAAAAGACGCCTTCCCAATTAGAAAATAATGATTCCAGTCTTAAAGAAATTTTCTTTGTAGATTAATAGGGTTTGAATTGCATTCATTTGTGCATTCACCGTATTTACTGATTACCTGTTACGTGTAAGGCAGGTGAATCAAGCAAGTGGACTGTTACCAGATGGCTACATGAATTAAGTCTGAAACAGGGTATATTTGAAACAGTGAACAAAAATGCAAGGAAAATCAGAAAAGATATACCATACAAGGATGGTAGAATAACTAATTGAATAGTCCCAGAATGCCTCTTGCTAAGAGTATTTTTGCCTAGAAGTAAGATTTTAAATGAGACCTGTCTTTCGCATTTATTGACCTCATCCTGCAACCATCTCTCTTTGGGGAGTTAAAAAAAAATAGTGCTGTGCAAAGCACAGTTGAAGGTATCTTATTAATCAGTTTGATTCCCTCTCTCCCCTCCCCCAGGTTATGATATGTCTACCTTCATAAGGCGCTATAGTAGATATTTGAATGAAAAGGCTTTCTCTTACCGACAGATGGCATTTGATTTTGCCAGAGTGAAGAAAGGGTATGTTTTTTCTTTCTTATATTTATTTGAGGAGAATAAGTCCTTGAGGTATATTTGATTTATTTTAACTGAGCTTAAATACCAACTAATTCTGATCATGAAGGCCTAGTTTACAATCACCTGAAAAAAAGAAACTCAATAAATAATATTATAGAAGTTAGCCTTGAGGTTGCAGTATGAATTATTTTATTTATATCTTCATGCAGAAAAATCTGATTTGCTGGCAGGGTGCAGGGGCTCACGCCTGTAATCCTAGCACTCTGGGAGGCCAAGGTGGGAAAATCTCTTGATCTCAGGAGTTCAAGACCCTGAGCAAGATCAAGACCCCATCTCTACTAAAAAGAGAAAAAATTAGCTGGATGTGGTGGTACACAGGTGTTGCCTGTAGTCCCAGATACTCAGGAGGCTGAGGCAGGAGGATCACTTGAGCCCAGGAGTTTGAGTTTGCTGTGAGATAGGCTGACATCATGGCACTCTAGTCCGAGCAACAGAGCGAGACTGTCTCATAATCAAAAAAAGAAAATCTGATTTACTGCTCAGGGTGTATGTGCTGTAACATTTTATTTGTTAAAATTAATTCAAAATTCTTAAACATATGTACCTTTAAATAATTTATAATTAAGACCAGGTTGATTTAAAAGTACAGTGGCTATAGATGACAATAGGTATTTAAATGTATTTTGGTTGAGGTGAAACTGCAGTTGTGTGTGTGGTAGAGCTCTGGGGTTTTTTTTTTTTCTTTCATTTTTTTCACCTCAGTCTTGGAGGTAGAGCTCTGTTTTTGAGAGATAATACTGTCCTAGGAAACACATACGTACACACCCATAATCAAGCTAATTATTGATACTACCAATTGTTTGTACCTTATTGAAACAGAAACATTTGAATTTTAATCCATAATTATGATTGATTTCCCTCTAAATAGATGTTTAAATCTTGTCAGAAGTGTTCAGCTAGAAGTTTATGTAGATCTTTTATCTGTTCCTAACTTGCGATTAATGGCCAGGTATTACAGAAGGTTTCATAAGTTAGTCTCAAGAATCTGCACAAAGATATATAACTCTATCTTTGTAATAGCTAATCTAACCTTAGTTATGAGCTACTTTTTTATCATGGTGGTAAAAAATGCCAATTTGCCTATTCAAAATAAATTATTTTCTTGTGGGTGGCTACTTTATAAAATTAGGTATTTTCCTTCATCCCCTTCTCATGAGAGATGATTCTAGTTCATATGCCTTCCCCAACATTATTTTTTATTCTCCAGAAGAATTCTAACAAACTTTCTTTTTTTTAATTTCAGAATATTACAGGGGTGCAAACATTTTGGTTACACAAATTGATTGTGTACCGTTTGAGTCAAAGTTTTAAGTGTGCCCATCCCCCAGATAGCATGCATTGCACCTGTTAGGTATGAATTTACCCATCCCCTACTCCCCCCTCCTACCTACTTGATTTCCAGTGAATATTATTTCCATATGTGCATATAAGTGTTGATTGATTAGTTCCAATTTAATGGTGAGAACATGTGTTTGTTTTTCTATTCTTGTGATACTTCACTTAGAAGAATGGTCTCCATTTCCATCCAGGTTAATACAAGAGGTGCTAGTTCACCATTTTTTTTAATGGCTGAGTAGTACTCCATGGTATAGATATACCACATTTTATTAATCCACTCATGTATTGATGAGCACTTGGATTGTTTCCACATCTTTGCAATTGTGAATTGTGCTGCTATAAACATTCAGGTGCAGTTATCTATTTTATAGAATGTCTTTTATCCTTTGAGTAAATACCCAGTAATGGGATTCCTGGATCAAATGGTGGTTCTACTTTTAGTTCTTTGAGGTATCTCCATATTACTTTCCATAGAGGTTGTGCTAGTTTACAGTCCCACCAGCAGTGTATGAGTGTTTGTATCTCTCTGCATCCACACCAGCATTTGTTGTTTGGGGACTTTTTGATAAAAGCCATTCTCACCGGAGTTAAGTGATATCTCATTATGGTTTTGATTTGCATTTCCCTGATAATTAGAGGTGTTGAGAATTTTTTCATATGTTTGTTGGCCCTTAGTCTATCTTCTTTTGAAAAATTTCTGTTCATGTCCTTTGCCCGTTTTTTAATGGGGTGGTTTGATTTTTTCTTGCTGATTTGCTTGAGTTCTTTATAGTTCTTTATCAGCCCTTTATCAGATGTATGGCATGCAAATATTTTCTCCCATTCTGTAGGTTGCCTATTCACTCTAATGATTATTTCCTTGGCTGTGCAGAAGCTTTTTAATTTGATCAGGTCCCATTTATTTGTTTTTGTTGTTGCCGTGATTGCTTTTGGGGTCTTCTTTATAAATTCTTTGCCTAGGCTGATGTCTATAAGAGTTTTTCCAACATTTTCTTCTTGAATTTTTGTGGTTTCATGCCTTAGGCTTAAGTCTGTTACCCATTGTGAGTTGATTTTTGTGAGTGGTGAGAGGTACGGATCCTGTTTCAGTCTTCTGCATGTGGCTTTCCAATTTTCCCAGCACCATTTATTGAATAGAGATTCTTTTCCTCAGTGTATGTTTTTGTCTGCTTTGTCAATGGCTATATGAGGATGGTTTTATATCTGGGTTCTCTATTCTGATCCATTGGTCTACATCTCTGCTCTTATGCCAGTACCATGCTGTTTTGGTTACTGTAGCCTTATAGTATAGCTTGAAGTACGGTAAATTGATGCCTCCCAATTTGTTCTTTTTGCTTAAGGTTGGTTTTGGCTATACAGGGTCTTCTCTGGTTCCATATGAAGTATAGAATTATTTTTTCTAGATCTGTGAAAAATGATGCTGGTATTTTAATAGGGACTGCATTGAATCTGTAGATCAATTTGGGTATTATATACATTTTGACAATGTTGATCAGCAAAATCAACATTGTCAAAATGTCTATACTACCTCTGACTTCTTACATGTCACTGCAGCCGGCTACATTGTGACATCTTTGCAGTAGATCCATGGCCTTCTTAGACACTTGCATCCCTGTATGGACACTTAAGGATATTTTGGGGTGCTTTCCCTACCATTGGGGTTAGAGAGATCTGAAAGTTGCTGTTATTAGCCCTTCCACATCACCTGGGTATTTTCCTCAGCTGATGTAATACTACCATCCTTGACCATCACTGGATGCAGGGACTCTCTAAGAGGTTGTTGGTGGGTGCAGGGCACAGTGCCCTCTCTGACACACCCTCAGCACTAACTTTCGGTCTTGTCGTCTGCAGCTGGTTAAACTCTTATCTCCATTTGGGCAAACTGTGCATATCAGTGTGCATTTTTCTTCACTTGATGGTTAATAGCTTAAACTCTCTTCTCCTAGTCCTGTAGCTTTTGTAGATTTCTAAGACATGTTTTCTCTTTTTCAAAAAAAGAAAAAATAAAAAACCTGGTTTTAAAGAAAACTTATATTTTTAACATTATTACATCTGCTATAGATTTAGAAAAATTTATTCAGAAATTCAACTGACCTCTTTTATCCACACCACAATGCTTTCTTCCAGAGGACAGTGCAGATAGAAAGAAGCATTGCTTGTATGGTTGATGAGTAAGAATGGATAAGAGGAAGTATTAATAGTACCGAGAGGAGAGATAATTACAACCTCTTAAGACCTCAAAGTGATCCCATAAGATTAGCTAAATTGGTGTGAGGGTGAAGTTTAGAACAATGCATATGGTCTTGAATTTTTCATGTACAAGGAAGTTTTATCCTTTTCTTTTTAAAAAAATTGTAGGGCCGATGGTGTAATGAGAACAATGGCTCCGGAGAAGCTACTAAAGAGTATGCCAATACTGCAGGGACAAATTGATGCACTGCTTGAATTTGATGTATGTATCTCACCACAAAATGTTACACAGTTAATATTGTCTCTCATTTGAAGGTGCGCTACAGGTAAATCTAAAGGTTTCCTCAGGAAGCAGATTTAGATCTCCCTCATTTGGATGAATACTTAGTTCAGGTTGTTAAGCACAGAAGAGATAATTTAGGTTCCCCAGATTTTCCAGTTTACCAGGTGTTTACTTAAGTCATGGAAAAAATAATATTCTTGGAACCTCATGTTCTGAGCAGTATGGTGGCCTCCTGTTGTACTTGACAGGATGAAGTGTCTGCAGGATGTAACTTCAGACAGCTAAATAAACGACCTGCTGTTAGAAACCATTTTATGTAGACTCCTTAAATGACACTATCCACCAATGAATTATTTTTGTTTTATCATAGATAACATTGGTCCTTCCTGGCAATATCAGCATGATTTGTCTCTTAAAACCATACCTGTATCTTGACTGTGGTGGTGGATATATAACATACACATGTGTTAAAATTGTATAGAACTAAATACATACACACAAATGAGTACAAGTAAACTTTGGGAAATCTGAGTAAGATCGGTGGATTGTGTCATTGTCAATATCCTGGTTGTGGTATTGTACTGTCGTTTTGTAAGGCACTACCATTGGGAGAAACTGGGTAAATGGTGCATGGGATCTCACTGTGTTACTTCTTACAACTGCATATAAATTTACAGTTATCCCAAAATAAGTTTAATTTAAAAATCTGATTCACGAAAAGAAAATATTTTGACATGTTGGAAGATTGTTAACTCACATTGTTAGCTTTCCTCTATTTTGGTGGCTGCCTAAAACAAAGATTTTCCTCACATATTAGTAACTTAAAGTCTCTGTTAAGATGATATAGTTTAGTCTATAACTGAATCCAAGTCACGACCCCTAACTCCTATGAAATTTCGGTAAAAGTAGAAAACTATCTAATTATTTTTTGACAGATTTTACAATAAAGACTTAACTAAATATCTATGGAATTGCTTCTCTTAATTTTTTTTTCTTTTTACTTATTTTTCTTTGCTTTTCCTGCCCTTAGTAAGGGTTCTTTATTAAAGGAGAAAAGTCATAAAGGGAGAAAGAGCCTGAGGAATTGTGAATAAGAATTGAGGTGTGGGGAGAAATTATGCTCCTTTGTGTTGGTGATTAGAGTATTTAACAGATGGGTGAATGGCTAAGAGTCTCAAGGATTATTTTAGGGTAGCTTGCTGAAGTATTCCCAATACTGTTCTTTATTGCAGGCCCTGGATCCTGAATTCTTTCACAAAGACCATTAGATAGGTGAATTGGAAGAAAGTAATATAGTAAAAGCAACAAAAAGACCAGGTGTTCAAAAGTTGAATTTGATTGATCTATGGATCATTGGTCAAACAGAATATATATATGTCTCTTAATTGATAGTACTAACTTCATTGACCTTAAATTGAAGCAAAAATATATGCAGCCCATCTTTTGATATTGGTAGAGTTGCTCAGTGGAGTTACCCAACATTTGTATTAATAGAATATGAGTGAATTTCTTCGTAATTATTTGAGACATTTTAATGTGATCGGAGAAAAAAATCTGACTTGGTGATATACAGCTAACATTAAGTTTTCATCTTTTTCTAGGTGCATCCAAATGAACTAACAAATGGTGTCATAAATGCTGCATTTATGCTTCTTTTCAAAGATCTTATCAAACTTTTTGCTTGCTACAATGATGGAGTTATTAACTTACTCGGTAGGTATAACTACTGAAACACATCTGGGCTGATGGGATACATGGTAAGACGGCGAATTTGGTGGGGTGAGTCTGTTGTCTCGCCTCTTGTGCAGTAAAGTAAGTGCCTTGGCAGAGGCAGTATTGTGCAGAATACCGTGATGGCAAGTACATCCACAGATGGGGGCACTGGCAGAGCAATATGAGCAGACAGAGTGAATTCGTATCTAGGCTAACTGTCTCTTACAGTGTGGACACATTGCTGTTGTCCTCCCTAATAAAAGGAATTAATCCCTCAACATGTTACTGGGTGGATGGCTGATCTCCCTGGACTATGCTGTTATGGTGGAAGCTCAGCATTGATCCCAGGTGTTGGCCAACTGAGGGCTCAGCAGGGATGATAGGTATATAAGCCTTGGTGGTGGGAAGCCTGTGCTGTTCAGCCTATTCATAACCTCCATTTCTGATGTCATGGCCACTTTCTGTAGAGTTCTCTTGTCCCCCTGATTTTTGAGAGCTGTTTTGTGGTATATGCCGTTTAGTTTGTATTCACATGCGATGAAGATAGTCTCATGCTCTTTATCTATTCTGAGAGGTCCATCCACTACCTTTTCCCCAGACCCTCTTGTCACCAATTTTCCAACTTTATTTTTTTCCAGTTTCTTATCATTCAGGCCAATGGTTAGTTGTTACCCAAAATTGGATGTAGTTCCATGTGTTTTGCCATCTTTCCTTTGACAAAAAGTGGAACATCAGATAGATATACTGCTGGAAGTTTGGCTTACTGTGAAGATTTCTTTCTGCTGTCAAGGTCACCCCTGTATGGAGAGATGATTCAGCAGATCACTTCCAGCTGGTGTCAGCATGAGGAACCATCTATAAACCAAAGTTGAATTTTTTTCTTCCTCAGTCAGCTGGCCATAAGAAACTCTCTGGAGACCATAGGTGTGATTTGAGGGAGAACTGGGAGAAATGACAGTACAGAAGAGTGGGTGTACTGGGAATATGAACCATCTGTTCAGACAGCCTACCTGATTATTCACAACCTGCTCGCAGCTGATCTCTTATATACCACTTCTATTTGATGATGGAGTGTTCTCACATTTGTCCTACTTTATGGTTTAGTACATTAGATAGCACCCACTTTAGGCCTGATGATCACTTGATGTTCTATGGTCAAGATCCAAGTCTCTAGAAGTAAGCCAAGAGCAATTTTTCCAAAGGAGATTAGTTACTGTCTGAAAAAGACATGGCTCTGCTCCAAAGCAGTGGAGGCCAGTACTAGAGTGTACCAGAGGCATTCCACAGCATTTGAATCTGCTGTATACTTTTCAAATACCTTTAGATCTGCTGAAACAAAGGCCCATGTGGCTTCAGTTTGGAACAGTTGCAGAATCTCCCCTGATCTGGATCCCACTCATATCTGATACCTCAACAGATACTCTGTTTAAAGCAGCGCACATGTGCATGTCCTGTATGTTGCCTCCAACGCCAAAGGAGCTCAGCAAACTTTTGCCTCCATTTTAGGTACAGAGAGTGCAGCACAGTTCAAAATTTGTCTTTCACATGGAGGATATTTCTCTGAAATGTCCAGACTTTTGGACCCTCAGAAATTTCATTGAGGTAGAAGGTCTCTGAATTTTCATGCATTCTGTCTCCCATCCTTTGACATGCATGTGACTTATCAAGGCACCTAGCATACCTAAAATTTTTGCCCAATAGTTACAATCAGCATGATGTCACCAAAGTGATATCTTATGGAATTATGACAGCCAGAGAGGTTGATATCCTGGAAATAAAACAGCGAGAGTGTACTGGCATCCTAGCCATGGGACAGCAAACTACTTCCGATGTTCTCTGCCTATTAGGATAAAGATAAAAGCATTTTCTGTTTCAATAGCTGTCTATCAGGTATCAGGAGATATGATGAATTTCCTCTGGTTAAAGAGGATACATCTGGATCTCTGAAAGTAGGATTCATAACCTAATTAACCTACTGTTAACATCTAAAATCCATTTATCTTTTGGACGAACCAAATATGCAGGTTAATTGAGGATGCAATGGAATCGCTACCTCTGCATCTTTGCAGAAATCAGGAAACCAGTGTGGGGATTCTGCTTATTAATATTTCAAAATATGTCTGTTCAAACTATGTATTCAGAAAGCTGAGGAAATAACCACAAATAGTTTTGAGCATCCATTGGGTCTAATTTTTTTTTATAACTTAATTCTCATAAAGCCTTCACTCATTCTAGAACATATAGTGACATTTTGGGGGGCCAGGGAGTAATATCAGACTAGAATCAGTCTCTCTGAAAAGTGTGGGTGTATAAAGCTGACTTCGAGTTTCCAGTTCCACATGTAAGGATCTTGGAAGTCACCACTCTGTCCCAACAGTAAGTAAAAAGCTAAACAGATTGAAAAATCAACAACTCTTCTTGGATCCACCAGAGAGCTGAGGACACAGAGCAAACGTCTGCCCTCAAGATTGGAGAAACAGACAGGTGAACACAGGGAGTCATGGCTTACTGGAACAGACACTCATGAATGGAAACTGCCATGGGAACCAGTGCTGAGGTGGGAAAACCTGAACTGTAACTGATGAATTGCTCAAGGCACAATGTGGACAAGTCTGAGAGTTAAAAACTCTAAGGGGAGCCGGTCAATCAGAGTACACATACTTTTGTTTTACCTCCAGGAGCTCAACCAGGTTCCCATAGTAAATATTGAAGACAAATCCCCTTGTGCTTCTGGCAGGGGAAGGGGGAAAGGATCTATTCTGAAATATGCCAGAGCACTCAAGAGAAACTGTTTAATCAGAGCCTAACCTGCTGGAGTTTTATCAGAGACCAACTGACCTGGGGGAAGAGAAATACCTGACTCCAGCCAGCTCTTAGCCTTCCCAAGTGGAAAGGAAAATACCCAACTACAGTCCAGTTTATCCCTCTTGTCCCACCTAAGGTGGGAGAAAAAAATGAGAAGCATTTGTGAAGTTCATAGTCCAGAAGCACAGACTCACTAAAAGAGATCTAATCATAGGACTGTAGAACACTTCCCCTCCCCACACACCTTAACACCACATTACTAAAGATCTATTTACAACAGTTCCTTTTACCTGCTACCTCATGTCCAGCTATCAAGAAAAAATGACAAGTCACACTAAAAGACAAAAAAACGGTTTGAAGAGACAGAGCAAGCATCAGAAGCAGACATGGCAGAGATGCTGGAATTATTAGACTAGGAATTTGAAGCAATTATGATTAATATGCTAAGAGTTCTAGAGGATAAAGTAGAGAACAGATGGGCAATGTAAGCAGAGAGATGGGTCCCTAAAGAACTAAAAAAAGTACTAGAGATCAAAAACACTGTAACAAAAATGAAGAATGCCTTTGATGGGCTTATTAATAAAATGGACACAGATGAGGAAATATCAGTCTAAACTTGTGGATACATTATATCAACAGAAATCTCTAAAACTAAAAAGCACAGAGAACAAAGACTAAAAACAAACCAAAATCGGAAAAAAAAAAAAAGGAACAGTATTCAAGGACTATGTAATGGGAATACCAGAAGAAAAAGAAGAGAGAAAGGAACAGAAGAAATATTTGAAATAGTAATGACTGAGAATTTCTCCAAGTTAATGTCAGACACTAAACCATAGATCCAGAAAGCTCAGAGAACACTGAGTAGGATAGATGCCCAAAAACTACCACAAAGCATATCATTTTCAAACTACAGAAAAAAATCATGAAATAACCCAGACAGAAAAAACATCTTGTCTATAGAGATGCAAAAATAGGAATTATATGCAACTTCTCCTCAGAAGTCATGAAAAAAAGAAGAGAGTGAAGTGAAATATTTAGTGTTGAGACAAAAAAAATACCCACCAACCTAGAATTCTTTACCCTGTGAAATTATCTTTCAAAAGTGAAGGAGAAATAAAAACTTTCTCAGACAAAAATAAATAAATAAATAAGGAATTTGTTGCCAGTAGACCTGCCTTACAAAAAAATGTTAAGAAGTTCTTTAGAGAGAAAGAAAATTATGTACGTCAGAAACTTGGATCTATATAAAGAAAGAGCATCAAAGAAGGAATGAGTGAA